TAGGACAAAGTATGCAGGAGGAGAAGCATGGCAAAGTGGAGATGACTTGGATGAGAAACGAATCACAATTGTGTGCACTGTGATTATGTCTGAAGCAGGTGTGCTGGAGCAGGTAAACAGTAAAACATGACATACTGCTCTGTGATTGGTTAACAAGCAAATGAGCAGGTAAAGCCTGTGGTGAGGGTTTAGTTGAAGTCTTCAACTAATGTGACAGCTTCACTTTTACAGATTGTTTTTAATCATTTATTTTCCTCGTTTAACTTTATAATCTATTTTCAAATAGAACAAATAAATTACAGTTTAAAGGGTAACTAAAACCATTCAATCCCCATCAGATATTATTGTAAATATATAGAGAAATGTGTTTGTTTTCCTGTCATAAAGGCCTGTTGTTATTTTCTAACACACTGACTGTACATCCAGGGCTCTCAGGCCTAACAGAGACCGGTCAGGACATCACTGAACCCGGCCTGTTGTCTCTGCGGACAGACGGACATGTCCTCGGGACTCACCCCTCGCTGGTCCACATCACCAGGGGCACCTGCTCACCGCACTGCCCCACGTTCAGCCAGSCCGACACACCGAGGACAAACACGGTGATGACGGTCGCGGAGATGCGCTSCTGCTCTGAAGACGCCATCTTTCCTTCTCCGAGCGGCGCGGCAGGTGACGGTCATGACGTCAGATCAGATCACGTGACAGTGGCGTCTGCAGAATTTTTTTTCAGGGGGGCTCATGGGGTTGGGGCACCAAAACTAATATCTATAACAGAAATTTGGTTGTAAAAATGACAATTTGACAACTATGGCAAAGTAAAAGCTATGGATTTGCCAACAGATGTTTAATTATAATATATACTGATTTTGTGATGTTCAGAGACAAAAAAACAAAACAAACAAACAAAAAAAAAAAAACAAGACCCTCGAACTATCTGCACTTCCACAACAGTCCATTTTCTAACTTTTTCTGTATCTTGGAGAACTGTAAGTTATCCTTATATTATTACATATTTCAGTTATATCAGAAGTATTTGTAATGTTGGGGGGGACTCACAGGTGGGGGGTCTAGGGGTCCTCCCCCAGAATTTTTTTTTTTAACAAAGTAAATGCCATTTCCTGCATTCTGGTGCATTTTAACAAGCTGTTAAACAGACTTTTACCTACATAAGTAAACACTTGGTGTGAGTATTATATAAGTCAAGTGGAATAAATTTATTTGTTAAACAAGAGAAACACTGGATGAACTAATGTTTTATGGTAAATGAGGGGGTTCAAATTAATTAAAATTTAAATGTGATGGGGAAACTTCCCTTCAAAAATTATTGCTGCGATGTCTGTCCTTTTATTTAAAAATGCCAAGACATTTACAAGGAACACGCTTTTTAAACTTTAAAGCCAAAACCTTTTCTATGTATGTTAAAAGTTTTATTTGCTTGTTGATGTTTACTTTTATGAAGAAAAAATGTAATTATAAAACCCCAAAAACTGGAAATAAAGACTAAAACAAGCACAATTACAAACTACACTCACCGGCCACTTTATTAGGTACACCACGCTAGTAACGGGTTGGACCCCCTTTTGCCTTCAGAACTGCCTCAATTCTTCGTGGC